GATAGATAGATAGATAGATAGATAGATAGATTGATAGATAGATAGATAGATAGATAGAACTGACATGGTTGGACACGGGTTTTCGTATTCGCATGTCATCCCTTGTCAGATCTGCCGACATGTTCATCACCGCAACTACATGCGGTGGGATTAATGCACGGTTTGTGGATACCACCGATGACGGTATTTGGACTGATGGCATTCGTATAACGCGCGTATATGCTTTCTCATTGTATATATCAGTTTAGCGATTGAGCTGACTTCTGGCGTTCTGCTCTGGTCATGAGAGTTGGGCATAGCAACGGAACGCCTATTTATAAATGTCAGAGTTACTAGAGAGAGATGAAGTGTAACTGTGTGAGGTTAGAGCCCACAAATGACCAACAGAGGCACAAATTGTACTCCTCTGACTGCACAAATAAAATCAGCGGAAATTCGACTGGTTCCACATCCATGCTACTCTTCAAAAATATTATCTGCAAAAATGCAAGCGACTGGTCCGTTCAACATGACACGAGCCAAGTTGTCCCCATCACCACCACCATTATCATCATCACCATCATCCTCATCGCCACCATCATCCTCATCATCTTCATCTTCATCATCACCATCATTATCGTCAACAACAAGATCAGCATCACCATCGTTATCGTCATTGTGATCATCATTAAAATCATGTTACTTATCGGTAGAGTCTATAACCCCTTCAGTTTAGTCACAGACATCTTTCTGATCAGATTACTCGTAGAGCCTATGTCTCCCAGCAGTACAACAAAAAATCTCGCACTGCAATCCAGTTCATATGTAGGTTGAGATTCATGGCTATGGGTCCTACCTTGAAACCTACCCGACCAAACTGGTTCATTTTCATATATCCAACTTATGTGGCCCTACCTACTAAGTTGGCATTCATCTATGTCTTCAAATGGCACTGCACCACTAAGCCAAATACGTTATTCTAGCTCGTGTTGCCCAGCTTGTCACTTGTCCCAAGGAGAATGTGACCGGATGCTGAAGTAGTTATGTATGGTACCATCTAAATCTTGGAATACCTTCTCAAGATGGAGTCGGAGGACATGACCGCCGACATTGAAAAGCATGAGCAGTTGGACAAGGAGAGTGTTGTAATTACGTGGAATGCTCGAAAGCTCATGAAAGCTGTCCCCACTTGAAATTAGCATATTCCTCTTGCCACTTAGTAGTACTTGTTAGTGTTAAATTAATGTCCAATCTATATGAGTCCACTTCCATGGTCTTGTAAATTTGTGTTAGTACTCGGAACTTAGGTATGCTCACCATATTTCAGACATACTCATTCGTCGTTCTAATCAACTGGTGAAGGAATGATCGCAAAACAAAAGTCTAAAGCTAAGTGAGCATCAAACCAACAATTTCCAAACCCGATCCAGCATTGTCCTGCAACAACTGCGCATCTGTTCTATTCATGCGAATCGGGTAACCCGCAATCATGTTCTACCCGGAGAATCCTGACATTTCAGGTGAGCCAATCTGGCTGACGTGGTCACCAAATATTTTCGTCTACTTTCTTTTCTAAAGCTAGATTTTTCTTGCAAAGTAAAAACACATCATTCTAACAGAACATTTATTACCGAGACGCCATCGTGCTTTAACGAAGATTGTAAACGAGCAACACCACCTGATTTTCGTAGGGTCCCTGAAAGCCTTTTCTAATCTGAGATCAACGATGTTTGTTTGTTTTGTTTAATCTACCCTAGTAGAGCGTTATTGGTTGAACATTTTCTTTCAGTGTGATTTAAGAGCTATTATTGATCCAAACCAATTGAGGTTACGAATGCAATAGTTACGGAACTTTCGTTAGGACAGTTGCGCCGGTACGGCAACACATGACATAACTGGAATATGGACCAGTGTTTGGTCGGAAGGGCCTTGAAACCAGCATCTATCCTGGAATGGCATCAAAGTTGTTTGTGGAAGCAGCCATGTGTCACCACGCTGGTTGAAACAAATAGTTTGGAATTCGGTTCTCACAGTAGCATGGTGACTGTCTTTTCGTGCAAGTTTGGTATCAAAGGTGTTTATCTGATAGACGTTTCACCAAGTGTCATCCAGATCCCCTAAATTTTGCGCACATCCATGTACGTGCGTGTAAATACGTAAATACATAAACCACATATAGATATAGACGTAGGTATAAATACATTGGGGAGGGAAAGGTATAATTAAGATTCGTAGGTTATTTGTTTATCGCCTTCTAATCACCCAATCTAGTTGAGTTGACTGAAGAACTCCTAGAACTCGGTGGTCACAATGTTTATTAGGATAAAGACTGGGGGAAAAAGTGAATGAATGATCAAACTTTGAAAGTCTTCTGAGTCAAGGATGCTGGTAAATCCCAATGAACACGGAATCTTAACGATCAGCAGCGGTGATTGAAGCCAGAAAAGCTATATCAATGGTCAAATGACTGTGTGGGCGCACGCAGAGTCCTAAAACGTCAAATAGTGAAGGGACTTAGGACTGGCAGAGGACGTTGATGGGTCACGAAATCCTTTGAAATACAAAAAGCTTTCGTAACGGTGAATAACCTCTCTCTGTCGCAGATGAACCGGTTAACTGGTGTAAGGCGGATGGCAGCTATTTAAAAAGCCCGAAATAAGCATGGGGCGTCAATGAGTTCACATACACGCCATGTTGAAAGCAGGCCTGAATAATTTGTACGACAAACTTGTTTTCAATCATTTGGCTGCGCAATGACCTGTAAATACCTGTTGTATTTTTTGATAGCCTTTGGAGCGCGCCCATACTTCCTAGGAAATCCGAGGTGAAAGGGATTAAAGTGACAGTCATGCTTGTCATTTCAAGAGTTCCTTATACATTCTTTGGACAGTTTAGTTGGAATCCAAAAATCACTGCAAGCTGTTTCATCCCTATTGACGACCGTCAACAGTTCGCAAAGTCGCAGGTCATTAATCAGTCACTTAATCCAAATCACGTCGTCACGTCTTGACGATCTCCATGACTGACATCTTGCAGAAGACGGAAGTGTCAGTAGTCCTAGTGGTAGGCCACTAAACGTACCAGCTGTGTGAACAATATGTGTGTGAGTAATCGACATCGCCCACATAGGGCAGCAACGGATGTCTCCGTCTAATTCGCATCATTGGTCATCGTGTTGTTTTGCCCATACGTCGCAGTCCCTTTGACAAATGCTCATTTATGAAGGCTTCAGTCCGTCTCCGTTTCCTTCTTCGCTGGTTCTTGTGTTGTGCGTTCAGCAGCATTTAGTCAATCAATCTAGGCTCTCAGCAATGGAGACAACAATTCGATTCATGAGTTCCCTCATCAGCAACATTATTATCCTGGAACGGCTAGCAGAATCCACAAAATTCGTTGTCATCTACCAAAGTAAAGAAGTGACGTAGAAAGCCAAGAAACTGACATTCGAAAGCCGATAAAGCACCGTTTACATAATTTAGAAGCACTTTCTTGTATCCTCAACAATGCAGGGCGACGAGAAGCAGTAAGTGGACCACTGTAATCTGTCACATAGCGAGATGCATGGTCGGATAATTTCAGTCACGCACCCACTGGCAGAAGCATGAAACAAGGTGTTGCGATTGCGCAACACAGAAGTTCTGCTAGATTATTGAGGCACCGGAAAAAATGAACTAATAATTATGACGTAGAAACATAGGAAAGAAGTTAACGTTTGAATTTGAGTGTCCCAATTACACTCCACATCTGTGTCGCTGATAAACTGCGGCTATTCCATACACGTAGTCGTCCAGAAGGAGGGAACTTGAATCCGTTGTGGTTAAATAACACTGGATCAGTGAGTGTCTAGATGGATCCCAGTGCCTAAAGCTTGGGTTTTGATGAATGGAAGGAGCTAGGCATGAAGGCCATAGGTGTAGTGTAGCAAACCTAACGTAACTGGTTGTACATATGATAGTATGGAGGAATAGTAAAACCTATTTTTTCTTCTTTGTCTAAGCGAAAATTTATTTCGATCTCTCCCAATCCTCCAAACAGAGTGCTGCACATGTGAACTCTTGGCAGTCAGATTGGATCAGAAGTTAGCCAGTCACGTTTGGGCTTGGCGATATGTATCAATGCTATTGGTTGACCAACTGAAACGTGTTGTATTACGCATACCGCACCATTTCGTTTGCGCCAGAGAATCAGAAAGTTGCTCGAATGTCTTTCCTCTGCGGGGCACTCATCGTCGTCTTCCATCTGGTGCAAGGGACTGAGAGTAATAATGGCTGTAAGTATTACTTGCCGCAAGTGGCTTATATCTGCACTAAAAATAAACGTTCCTCACTTTGAATTATGAACAGATACCCTAGGTGTGCTCAGTAGAATCGATTGTTTGTGAAATTTGATACCCAGTCGAATTGGTCTATCCATGGTTGTTTAACATAGTGGATTACTTGCGAAATTTGATTCTTGCTTGATTTCAAATCGCTAAAGATAAACTCTCCTTCAAAACTTAGTTGACTCGCTGAATCAAATTCTGAATATCTACGCACCTGTCGGTAAGTTAAATCAACATTGAAGTAGAAAAACATTTTCATATCCATGATAAATTTAACTGATAAATTTTAGTGTTTCTGCGAATTCATCCGATCGGGTTCCAAATCCGAAAGTTGACCAAATTCTGCTCTGGTTCAACACTACATTCGTTGAATTTGATACTTGAGTTTTGTTAGCTAATAAGGGACTATCATCATTCTATTCGTCATGCACTGGGCAGGTCTCCTTTGGGAGTGAGCAACTTCTACAGAAGTCATGTGTTTGCCATTTTATTAAACGGCCATAATGAAAATAGCAAATGTTCTTGTTGGCTTGAAAGCCCAATGAAATCAACTGATGCGTTATTTGTATAACGATACGTAGAATTACAGCATGCCCGCAGGATTATGAACAGAGATCAAGGACTCGTCTGTTCGTTCACCAGTGTACTGCAAAGGGTTGAAATTCATAAAGGAACAGGAGTAGGTCAATTCAAAACACGAGAAACGTGAAAGATGGATATAAGTTCCTGTGGCGTAATTTATTCCACGTTCATCTTTCGTATCTGCTCATGGATTGAATAAAAACAGCTTTCAGTTACTTTTATTTATAGTACTTCTGCACATCCACTTCTTTTGTCCCAATTACTTGTCTCTATTAGCAGACACATCCTGGATGGGCCGAACAGTTAGCACATAGTTCCATGGTGACAGTAGGATCTACCTGAATTGTTTAGCTACATAGGGAGTGTTGCGACGACTGTATACAGCTTTTTTTGGATTTAAAGTAGAGGTAAACCTAGTTATTCAGATGTCGCCAATGCTATTACTGTAGAAAATTAACTGCTTCTCGCCAAATTATCGGAACATATTGCTGTTGACTCTGCTGTATTGGCCAAGACCCAGGTTCCCCCTGCAGAGTACGTATACTGTAGGACTTGGTGAGTGTATCAACGCATCGCTGCGGCTGAACATTTAAAACGCGTGTTCCAAAACAGAATCATCTATCTAACTGTTATCTATCAGTCAGCAGAACCTATTTACTAGCTGAATAATCTTGCCCGGTAATGCATGCACTTTTCAGAAAAGCGGTTTTTCAAAATCAAACAGTCTATTGGGATGAGGCCTACGAATGAGAAAACCAACATCATAATAACGGTCATGAACATTGGGTCCAGTTAACTGATTTCGGTAAAACTAAAGAGAAAGCCGACAGAATTTGCCTGTCAATTTTATTTTCATGAATCTGATTGCAATATCTAAAGGGATGGTGATAAATAGTCTGTTATTGGTATTCAATGATCGAAATGCAATTTAACTAAAAAGACATGCATATCTGGCTTCACGGGACGGACAGAAATCTCCTGGCACCCACTAGATGTTGATCTAAAGGTAGCAATAGAACGGTGGATTTTCTGCAGTTTAAGGAGTCGCGAATTGTTGAAATCTACTTGGATTTCACTAGTAATAGGTGGATGGCCACCGAATGCCTGAAACACTTGACGACTAATAAAAAATTAACTCATGAAACAGAATGAAACAAATTGGCCCCCTGATGTGCGCCTCCGGCTGTTGGTAATTAATGTGACAGTTGCAAGCGATAGGCGCCTACCAGCCGGTATTTCAATCTCACTAAGAACATATAAAAGCAAATGTAGTTTGCTAATTGCTTACAGAATTCTAATCTGCCCGGCTGTCTTTAGTCTGCGATCATATATCGTTCTGTACTACACCAAAATAGAGCGGAATGTATGGTTAAAAATAAGAGGACCCTATAGTAAACATTCCTGTACTGTGTTGCACCATACGGCATCCTGCTTCACTGAATGGATGATATCCGAAATGGACTGAGCGGTCAGAAGTGTAATCTGGACCACTTCCGATAGTCTCTACGAGGCCGACTTCGGTGTCTCCTTGGATCACCGGGCGTCGGTTTAACTTATGTTTAACTTAATTAGGACCACATCGCGCATGTCTTCCGACAAAGTGTCGAGTATAACGTGGTGATATTGGAAATAAACGAACCGCCGAACTGCCCTTAATTTTGCTAGAATCAGATACGATACATTACAACACTGCCAGTCTACATCATTCCTGCCAACATTATTGTGTTCTACTGTTACCATACTGGAACATCAGGTATTTCATCTGTTGTTTGGTATGCGGAATTTGAAGTTTCTTTGCAGCAGTCTACATCTGTGTCCATCTAGCTTGATTCGCTCAAAACTATCTTTCCCACTGGAGATGAAGACAAGAGTTCAACTGTCCTGTCGATTAATCGAGTCACGGTGTAGGTACCCCCATTGTGTGGTTCCGGTCGCGTTCAAAATGTGTGAAGTGATTCACCCGGATACCATTGTCTCTCTCGTTATAAACAAAATGTTGTTAAATTGAGAGGAAATACAGATTCCCAAAGCATTTGTGTTCAAGCAGAACATCTAGCGAATGCAAGCGAATAGATTGAGCCCAATCGATGAGACCTAACAGGGCGAAATCGGTCGCCGATTGTCGATGATATTTCATCAAATTTCTATGTAATTTATTACACTTATCCATCTGAGAAATTTGCCGCCGTACAATTGATCTGATTCGATGTCCTCTTACAAAAAAGCATCAAACAAACAAATGAAAAAGTGCTGTGAAAATGGTGTTTTTTGTAGTTCACTAAAAAAACTGAATGTCAAGGGAAGCTGAAACTTGCCTGCATTTGAGTGATTAGTTTCACACACTGGTCATTTATTCCATGCTAGAAGTTGGTTCAAAATTCCTGATGGGCGTTGCTGCAAATCTGCTTTTTGAAGGCCTTTGCCGTGCACTAGGTGCGCTAGGTCGTTCATGGTGTTTTGTATCACACCCGTTTCTGCGTGAACATCAGAGAACTAACTAACAAATATGGGTGGGTTTCTCAATTCACTCGCGCAATCGTCTAACATACACGGAACGTTTCTTCCGGGAAATTGGCTAACACAAACGTCTGTTGTATTTTGTTTTTCAGAGAAATGCGACAACTTCATAAACGCCAAACATGAGAACCCGAACGAGCTAAACCATAGACAACGTGACGAAGCTACACAAGGTATTCAACCAGCACAACCGGATAAGACAGAGACTCCCAAACAGCACAAGTGCGGTACTTGTGGTAAATCGTTCAAGGTGCCAAGCTTACTTCTACGTCACGCAATCATGCACACCACTTCAAAGAACTATGAGTGCGAGTTTTGTAGAAAGACTTTTAAATATGTCCATAATTTAAGGAATCACAGATTGTTAGTCCATGCAAGCGATGAATCAAACGGAAGACTGCGAATATACACATGTGAAGTTTGTGGGAAACGAGCCGCATCCCAGAAGGATTTAAAATCTCACATGCGTGTGCATTCGAGACAAAGACCATTTGCGTGTGATCTATGTGACTGGTCCTTTGCCACATCAAGTAATCTTTACCGTCATCGTCGTGCTTTACACCCTCAGACCACTCAAGACGCTTAAATTCGCTTTCGTCCGCCAGGTCATAATCGACCAAAGACTGGTCTCAAACTCACGTGCATGTCTAATTTGTACCGAACTTGTTGATGATGTAACTATGTGCCTTTTCAGTGTACGCATCCACAATCGAGTTTTATCTCAATTCCATTTATGGGTCATTTAGAATCAAGGCGAGTCAAATTCTAAGCGATATCGATAAAAATTTGGGAACTCATCGTGAATGTTATCAACTTGTGCTCTACACAATATCATTAGGGATCTGAAGTACTGATCAATGTGCACTTGAGGCAAGGATCGCCATCTTCGACTGTGTGTGTGTGTGTGTGGTACGGCATGCAGCAACTTGGTAAACGAATCGTCGAGTGTGTGTGTAGGCTGACTTTCCCAAGTTGATCAGGACTATCAGCATGCTTTAGCATTCGTGTACTTCCTAATCAACTCATAATCACTGAGAAAGGACTTTCGGTAGACGATCGAGAAGATGAAGGAAATCAGAACGTCATTTGATGCACTACGTTCTGTGACTTCATCTCAATCAATCCGGATTGTTTGAAATGTCGGGCAGGAAACTCAGCAACCAGACCAACTGTGCGGACTTACTGCACTGTGAGTGGCGGAAAACAATGTTCCTGAAGCGACACAAGTACCAATTTTGATACTCATGAGTTGATTTTTGTTGGAAATCACGTCTTACTACTCGCAGCGGGGTGCTTCTGTAGAAGATCATGGACAGACGAAGTGCCCAGAGTAACCGTAGGGTTTATAAAGTAGTTGGATCTATTTACTTGTCTTGAGTTTACACCAACGGGTTTGCAGGCGCTTATCAGGCTTAGTCAATGGCCACTCTAGCGGAGGACCGAGTGTGAACAGCGGAGTGAAGACAGCAATGTTCTTTTATAAGTCCGGAAACCTAGGAAATGTAACTTTGGTCTCGCTTAATTCATTTGAAGTGGACTCATAGATAACTGGGCCAGAACAAGAAAGCTTGACTGATATGAACGCGAAACTTACCAACTGATGTTCCGCTTGTTCGCTTTAGGGTAATCAAAATATGTCAAGGGAAAGTGGAATATATCAGTGGTGGTACGAATCTCAGTCAAGTTTATGGGGATTTGGCTTAATCAAGCTGTCAGTTGTGGTAATGTCATTGGGGCCGGTTTAGCTCAGCGGCGAGCAAACAAGATGACCGGTAGAGCACAGCGATCAGATCCAAAGCAGTGTCTGGCATCACAGGAGTTGTACGAACAAGGCAGTAACGAACAATCCGTCATCATCATCATCACCAGTGAGATTAACAACTGAGAGGAACGTTGGTTCATCATTCCCTATCTGCCTTCGGATGAGCTGACCGTATGCCAATCGCTCACGAACATGAATCACACTTCGTATAATTCGACTGCCACAATACAGGTGATGCAGAATAAAACGATGGGAAGTTAATTCCTGGTTTCGTCGTTTATACGAAACCAAATCGTAGAGTAACCGATAAATTAATCCAGAGTCATGTCATACCGATTCCAACGTTGTTTTGTTGATCGATCATGGTAGTGTTCAGTTTTGTATGAAGGATGCTACCAACCCCACAGTTTGTTTTGTTTTATTCCATATTTTACTCATTGCGCCAGCCAAGTCAGCATCGTTGTTCTCGCTGCGCTGTGTAAGAAGTGATTGTCATAGCCGAAATATATTCAAAAGTCCCTATATTTCAATTTAGCGGATGTGCGCCCGGTTTCGTTCTCGGTCAACCGCATTGCAGTCCTGATTCGTTGGTCTCAAAAAACCTCATTTTCGAATGAAATTCAGTGCCAAATCTACTAAAGAATTTCATCCCCTAAGAGGGCTTGAATTTCGCCTTCAACCTAATTGTAGCAGTCACCATAGCGAATAGGCTGGATGTGTGAATAGCCCGTCGACGGAGGCGCTATTTTTGAGCAAATATTCAAAGCCGTGTCATCGATTCTTCCAAGTGTGTGGTCAGGCCTATTGCGAGTTTCACCCCAAGCTGGAGTACGTTCCGAGATTGAATTTTCGGAACGCGACACTTAATCTACCGTGAGCACATTGACGAGGTATAACCTCAACTCTCAGTGTACTGCGGAAAGTGTTTGTGGATGGCACAAACTAACTGGTTACACAAAACGCTGCCCCAATTCATCGAAATGGGATTTCAGATGACAGGCCTGAGGTTTGGTAGTTTAAAACAGAACCATGGAGGAAAATCACATTGTTCATCTGAATTGAGATATTGAACGTTTTTCTCAGACTGTGATATTTGTTATCCATTCAATCTGGAGACATAGGTTGGGCTCACTGTCGTTTCACCTATTCAAAAGTTTAGTGGTAATAGGACTCCGCTGAGGTTTCGACCACGGGCAAATTTAAACCAGGGCTTAGGAAGCATACTTGACGTGAACCTTCAGGAAGTCTGATGAAACATATCGGTGGCGTTCAATTCCAGCTGCATGTTGACCAAATCCAAGCGGATGTTCCGCAGATATGAACATGGTTGTTTCGTCCTTAGTTATTCGGCATTGTGTCGAACGAAAATTGCTGAAAGATCAAACTGAACATCCTGATATTGCTTTACCAAATGGCTCTCCGCAATAAGCTTCAGTAAAATAACATTTGGCCACCATTTCTTATGTCGTGCACTTTTGTATTACAACGCCCATCCATATCGATATTTTTTAGATTTGCCGGTGTCGGATTCAAACGAAACGCATTTGCGGAATACAATTAGCGTAGAATTCTTGTTAATTCTCAATGCTGCCCAATTAACGGCAAGCGTCAATTACTCTATCAGTCACACTAGCTAGATCATTTGAGTTGGTCACATCGATCATTCTTCGCGACTTCAATTATAACGCTCTTAGGTTCGCACTAATTAAGCATCACGTCACCATGTGTATTTCAGGAGTAAGTTTGACTGAATTTGATCAACCTGACCACCAAATGAGCATGCGTTTTGAAGGAAATTCCGAGAAACCATCCAGTAACGGTCCATCCCTATTGAGTATCACCTGCAGTGGCCATCTAAAAATTCAAGGAGTCATGAGCCCGAGAGCTCCACTGTGCTACTTTGAACAAGTAGCGGTTTGACCACGGGCCGCCGATCATTAGTGCGATTAATTCGCACTTAGAGAGCACCACTCATCCATCAGTCGCCCAATTCCTATCAGGTGGCCACGTGTTGACTGGTTACTCAAGTGGTCTCCTCTGATGGAACTTCGAATAAAATAACATGCTTGTTCTGGTATGTGGATAAAACCAATATTCCACCTAACGTTTTTTCAAGTGTGCTCCTTTGACGACACCTACCCCATATCAAGCGTCACCAAAAGACCGCGTCTAATGTGCAATATTGGGTCCATCGCGTTGTGTTTCCACGTCAACTTTTGACACATGTTCATACACGCCTCTCACGTCCGTCTGGGTCTTGGATTTCACTATCCCTCTGCGGTAGATTTTTGTCAACCTCTAACGGAGCTGAGAGTCTCGGTAGATTTCGGGCATTCNCCACCGAATGCCTGAAACACTTGACAACTAATCAAAAATTAACTCATGAAACAGAATGAAACAAATTGGCCCCCAACTATATTAGCTTCAGTAAAGAGCCTGATGTGCGCCTCCGGCTGTTGGTAATTAATGTGACAGTTGCAAGCGATAGGCGCCTACCAGCCGGTATTTCAATCTCACTAAGAACATATAAAAGCAAATGTAGTTTGCTAATTGCTTACAGAATTCTAATCTGCCCGGCTGTCTTTAGTCTGCGATCATATATCGTTCTGTACTACACCAAAATAGAGCGGAATGTATGGTTAAAAATAAGAGGACCCTATAGTAAACATTCCTGTACTGTATTGCACCATACGGCATCCTGCTTCACTGAATGGATGATATCCGAAATGGACTGAGCGGTCAGAAGTGTAATCTGGACCACTTCCGATAGTCTCTACGAGGCCGACTTCGGTGTCTCCTTGGATCACCGGGCGTCGGTTTAACTTATGTTTAACTTAATTAGGACCACATCGCGCATGTTTTCCGAGAAAGTGTCGAGTATAACGTGGTGATATTGGAAATAAACGAACCGCCGAACTGCCCTCAATTTTGCTAGAATCAGATACGATACATTAGAACACTGCCAGTCTACATCATTCCTGCCAACATTATTGTGTTCTACTGTTACCATACTGGAACATCAGGTATTTCATCTGTTGTTTGGTATGCGGAATTTGAAGTTTCTTTGCAGCAGTCTACATCTGTGTCCATCTAGCTTGATTCGCTCAAAACTATCTTTCCCACTGGAGGTGAAGACAAGAGTTCAACTGTCCTGTCGATTAATCGAGTCACGGTGTAGGTACCCCCCATTGTGTGGTTCCGGTCGCGTTCAAAATGTGTGAAGTGATTCACCCGGATACCATTGTCTCTCTCGTTATAAACAAAATGTTGTTAAAGTGAGAGGAAATACAGATTCCCAAAGCATTTGTGTTCAAGCAGAACATCTAGCGAATGCAAGCGAATAGATTGAGCCCAATCGATGAGACCTAACAGGGCGAAATCGGTCGCCGATTGTCGATGATATTTCATCAAATTTCTATGTAGTTTATTACACTTATCCATCTGAGAAATTTCTCGCCGTACAATTGATCTGATTCGATGTCCTCTTACAAAAAGCATCAAACGAACAAATGAAAAAGTGCTGTGAAAATGGTGTTTTTTGTAGTTCACTAAAAAAACTGAATGTCAAGGGAAGCTGAAACTTGCCTGCATTTGAGTGATTAGTTTCACACACTGGTCATTTATTCCATGCTAGAAGTTGGTTCAAAATTCCTGATGGGCGTTGCTGCAAATCTGCTTTTTGAAGGCCTTTGCCGTGCACTAGGTGCGCTAGGTCGTTCATGGTGTTTTGTGTCACACCCGTTTCCGCGTGAACATCAGAGAACTAACTAACAAATATGGGTGGGTTTCTCAATTCACTCGCGCAATCGTCTAACATACACGGA